ACACCTAATGACCCACCTAAGTGGTACTCAGAATATCACTCAAGAAATCGCTCAAGATATCCCTCAAGTAATTAAGGAACAAAAGAAGAAAAGGCACACTAGCCTGGGAACTTCCTCTCTGCCCAGAACATTGGAGGCTATACACCACACCCCCTCAACAGTATTTATAGGAACTCAAACACTGAGATCCTGCTCTGTTCCAGTAACAAGAAGCCGAAAGCACCAGCCTGAAGATGACGAGTGAGACCTCGTCGAAACGTCGCCTAGACACCCCAACTTTTACACGGGAAGACACCCGAGGACACCAAAACCTACATTCCTGTACCCGTGAAAATCTACGAAAGCATATATATATATATATATATGACCTAAAGTAAATTATTTCAAAACATATATATAAAAACAAACCAATGGACTGCAGAAGGCAGCAACCAGCAGCTTCCAGTCTGCAGAACTACCCACCCATCCCACTGCCTGAAGCAGACCCTTGCGCTACCTAATGTTAGGGCCGGCCATATCAAAGTTTGCAGAACTACCCAAAAACACATATTTAGGTTGGGAAAAGAAAACCTTACGTGGAAGGGAACCCTGTCCAACGAGGGCAGAACGTGCTCCATGGCTGCAGGGTGTAATAATAATAATAATAATAATAATAATAATAATAATAATAATAATAATTTTTTGTACCCTGCCCATGTGGCTGGGTTTCCCCAGCCACTCTGGGCGGCTTCCAACAAGGATGAAAAATACATCAAAATGTTATGGGGAGGGGGCATAGCCCAGTGCAAGAGCAGCCGTTTGGCATGCAGAAGGTCGCAGGATCGATCCCCAGTGCCATCTCCCGGAAGGGTTGGGAGAGACTCCCTGTCTGAATTCCTGGAGAAACCACTGTCTGTGTGCAGGTGTACCAATGATCTGACTCAGTGTCAGAGAAATTCCTACGTTGGCTCACCTGGAATGGAAGAGAACAGAAAAACCAGGGCAGCAAGGAGGGAGAACGGAATGGAGTGTCCTGGAAGAGGGTGCGGCTTGTTAGCTACAACCCTCAGCGGGAACACACTGCAACCTTTCCTTCTGGGTTGCATCCGTTTCGGATGCATTCAAATGTGCTCACAATCCTCTGGGCGGTTTTGGAAGGAAGCGAATTTCTTTCCAAACGGTTCTGTGTCGTTCCAAGCCAATTTTGCAGGGCTGCTCTTGCCATGGTGTGTGGTCTTTGCCTGGGCTGCAATGCATGCATTTTACAGGAGGTAATTACGTTTGATCTAATGTGTTTTTCCCCAGAGAAAAAAAGGGGGGGCGGAGAAATACCATCCATGACTTTTTAATTGGCAGTGCAGGGTGAGGCAGGAGGCTGTCGCAGAGAAAATGAAAACTGGAACACAGAGGGCCAAAATAAACAAAGCAGCAGCAATTCTGCAGGACAGAATTTAGCCAGCGCCCCTTGATCTGATAATGAAGGCATTGCACAATTTGCAGTGAGGGGGCTGGTCCATTAGAGGGAAAGGGGGTACTTGCCCCACCAGCCTCGACCGCCCAAGTCTGTAGCTGCGTGGGCTCTGCCTGTCATCGACTCTGGCGCCACCTACTGTCAGGCTCCCTGCCTTCTGCCCTACCAGTCAATCCCCACTACCACTGTGCACAAAAGCATCTCAGTTTTGATTGGTGGATAGGCTGGTCACGTGCCCTGTCCTGTATTGCAAGATTGAGGGCCGCCTTCCCTTCTTGGTAATGCTTTAGGGGCCACGCACCAGTGTGGAGCAACAAGTGTCAACATTAAAAAAATCAAAAACCATTTCATTAAATTTTTACAAATTTCACATAAAATTCCAATACATAATATTTTTTTCTTTTGTTCTATCGACTTCCCATCCCATTTTCCGTGGTGTTTTTTAATTCTACCCCTTTGTGGCACCCTATCTTCCCTTTTTTATATCATAACCATATTCTTTCTGTTGCTCATAGTTCGAATCCTGATCGCAAATTCATCATATTATAATATTTATTTAAATAGTCCGAAAATAGTCAACTTTATCTTTGTACAGTAAGCTAGCTCACACACACACACACACACACACACACACAATCTTATCCCTCCAATTGGGGAAGTATTGAGACATTACCAGAGAGCAAAGACACGTTCCTGCCAGGCAAAAACACTCAAGGAGGGTGTCAAGCAAGGGCAAAGCAAGGGCAGTGAGGGGGCGTGGCCTGGAGAAAGTGGGTGTGGCTGGGGAGAATTCTGAGGGCCAGGCAGAGAAGCTGGAGGGCCGCTTTGATCCACTCCAGCTCCATTTGAACGGCCGTATCTGATCTGGCTTAAGGATAGTAAAGGTAAAGGGACCCCTGACCACTAGGTCCAGTCGTGGCCGACTATGGGGTTGCGGCACTCATCTCGCTTTATTGGCCGAGGGAGCCGGCGTACAGCTTCCGGGTCATGTGGCCAGCATGACTAAGCCACTTCTGGCGAACCAGAGCAGCGCACGGAAACACCGTTTACCTTCCTGCTGGAGTGGTACATATTTATCTACTTGCACTTTGACGTGCTTTCGAACTGCTAGGTTGGCAGGAGCAGGGACCGAGCAACGGGAGCTCACCCTGTCGCAGGGATTCGAACCGCCAACCTTCTGATCGGCAAGTCCTAGGCTCTGTGGTTTAACCCGCAGCGCCACCCGCGTCCAAGCTTAAGGATAAGGAACTCCAAAAGGGAGAAGTGATGAAATTGCCCGTCTACAGGTAACCGAACACCCGTCTAGCAGACTGAACAGGCACCCACATCACCCAGTCCCCGTCTTCCCCACGAGGCTGACACATCCCGGATTCCTGTTTAAATTACAGTAATCATTTTAAAATTGGCACCAGTACATACATGTTAGCAAATCGACTCGCATGCAAACCGGTATCCTTTCATTCCACACACACCCTGTCCTATATGTGAAAGCTCAAAGAGAAAGTATTGGAGAATCTGAGGAACGTTGCTAGCTAGGGAGAGCGAGAGGTCTGTGTGTCAACAAGGGCGGGGAACAGGGACTAGGTAACAGGGTAGCACTGTACAGTGGTACCTCGGGTTACAGACGCTTCAGGTTACAGACGCTTCAGGTTACAGACTCCGCTAACCCAGAAATAGGGTTAAGAACTTTGCTTCAGATGAGAACAGAAATTGCACAGCGGCAGCGGGAGGCCCCATTAGCTAAAGTGGTACCTCAGGTTAAGAACAGTTTCAGGATAAGAACAGACCTCCAGAACGAATTAAGTTCTTAACCTGAGGTACCACTGTACAGTGGTACCTCAGGTTACATACGCTTCAGGTTACAGACTCCGCTAACCCAGAAATAGTGCTTCAGGTTAAGAACTTTGCTTCAGGATGAGAACAGAAATCGTGTTACGGCAGCACGGCAGCAGCAGGAGGCCCCATTAGCTAAAGTGGTGCTTCAGGTTAAGAACAGTTTCAGGTTAAGAACAGACCTCCAGAACAAATTAAGTTCTTAACCCGAGGTACCACTGTAGTTTGTTCAGGGTGCTGAGAGCTGTTTGGAGACGCTTTGGCAAACTACAGTTCCCAACAATAGAAGAGTTGCACGCATATATTCATTATTTCTGCTTCCAGCCCCGCCAACTACTGGCAGGTCACTCAGAAGGGAATGTGGCCCCTTGTGTGAAAATGAGGCGTCCAAGCAGATCTCCTTGGCAAGGCCAAACAAACATTTATCACTCTTAAAGGAACTGGTACAACTGGTTTTGTAGGAAGCAGGCAGAGGATATTCTGTAAATATGAGGATGGGGGTGACCGGGCAGTGAGTCTCGCTGTAAGTCTTTGCCTGTTGCCATGCTTTGAAAAGGTACAGTGGTACCTCTGGTTAAAAACTTAATTCGCTCTGGAGGTCCGTTCTTAACCTGAAACTGTTCTTAACCTGAAGCACCCACTTTAGCTAATGGGGCCTCCCACTGCTGCCGCGCCACCACAGCACGATTTCTGTTCTCATCCTGAAGCAAAGTTCTTAACCTGAGGTACTATTTCTGGGTTAGCGGAGTCTGTAACCTTAAGCGTCTGTAACCTGAAGTGTCTGTAACCCGAGGTGCCACTGTAATTTCCATGCAGCAAGTTAGAAAAAAACAGGCACATATTCCTAAATGCATAAAGACGTAAGGTGTCATCATGCTCAGTTATTTGCATGGCTGCCAACAGAGGGGGGGATAGGCGAGGGTGTGAGTTAGATATCAAGGGAGGGGGGTTCATCAGGGGTGGGGAAAGGGGAAAGGGGTAGGCTGGGCAGAGACAGCAGCCCCTAATATATATACCGGTATGTATGTATACACACACATTCTTTGAAAATGATCGGGGGATCCGGCTGTGTGTTTAAGGGCCCATCAAATCCCAGTTTGATTTGAAGGACGGACAGACGGACACGGAGGGGAAACTGAGGCACAAGAGCGCAGTGGCGTAGCGTGGGTTGTCAGCACCTGGGGCAAGGCAAGTAATTTGCGCCCCCTAACCCGTGGATTTGCGCCCCCTAACCTGTGGATTTGCCCTAACCCCAGATGTTGCGCCCGGTGCGGCCGGCCCCCCCTGCACCCCCCACGCTACGCCACTGCAAGAGCAAGAGCAAATGCAGGACCGAACGAACACCTGGAGGGGAAACTGAGGCACAGAGGGAAAAGAAGAGAGAAAGAGAGGTGGGTGGATGGATGGATGGAAGGGAAAGAAGGAAGCTCCCCTGGAAAGGGAAACCAAGGCACAGAGCAAAGATATAAAGTTTGCGTAAGGAAAGAAATGTCAAGTTTCTAGCCCTCTGGGTGGAATGAGGGGAAAGGTCTCCCTTCCCTCCCCACTCTCTCTCTCTCTCTCTCTCTCTCTCTCTCTCTCTCTCTCTGCACCTGAGAAGTGTTGGAGAGTTCTGGAACCTGGGAAAGAGTTAATACAGCAAATAAAGGTGGAGTTTGTAATACACAGAAAGTTTTGGGGTAAGGGGGCGCGTTGTTCCTCTTTGGATCCAATCAGCTGCCTCCTGGGACAGCCTGGGCTCCGCCTCTGCCTATTAAGTCCAGGCTGCGCCAGCTGTGGGCTACCACTTTCCCCATCGCTTCCTGCCACTCAGCACCGGACCATCTCGCTTCTGGTAAGTCTTGAATTCTGCTCCTCCCATCCACGGCTCTTCCATTTCGTTTCCATCATCTCCTGAGCTTTTGCAGAAGATTTCCCCGCTCCAGTGAGCCAGATGTGTAGCTTTTTCGCTCCAGATGTGTCCCTCCCTCCTCATTCCTAGTTCCCCTGTTCCTTTTTCCTCCTTAGGGACAGTCGAGAGACCATTTCAGAGATGTGGTTTCCTCCCCACTAACCTAGGAATAGTTTGGGAAAAAGTCGAACCTTTTAATATCCTTTCTGCCCTATCAGAAAGATCCTTTTGCCTCGCCCTCCCCTCCCTCGTTCTTAACAGGGAGATCCGTTAGGTCTACTCGGAAGTAAGCCCCCTTGAGTTCAACGAGGTTTGTATACTGCCAAGTACGGTAAGTGCAGGAGAGCAGCTTAGGAGCGCGAGCCTATACGGGTCTCCTCGGAAGTAAGACCGCATAGGATGGCAGCGTAATTCTTACCGGTGCCCACACAGAAGTTAAGTCTCATTTTGCTCAGTAGGGCACCCTCCCAAGTTAAACGTGCAATTCATTATATATTGATATTGATATTTATTTAACGGTATTTCGTCCCTTTGAGGGTGGGTCACCCTCCCAAGTTAAGGGTGGAATGGTTTATTTAATGATGTTTCTCCTCCATTCAAATATTGGATGCCCTTTCGTTTTAAACCATTCTTAAAAAGCTTTTCATTACTTCTGCTCTTCTCATTTAGGCGTCACTTTCTGCAAAAGAGAGAGAGAGAGAGAGGCGTTGAATTCCAGAGCTGTACTAACTCCGGATTTCCCCTTTTTGCATTTTGGCTTCTGGTTAAGTCGCTTTCAGACACTCTCTCTCTCTCGTGCAGAAAGTTTGAAAGCGACTTAACCAGAAGCCAAAATGCTAACGGAAAATCCGGAGTTAGTACAGCTCTTGAATTCAACGCCCCTCTCTCTCTCTCCTCTGCCCCACTCGCCGGTCTGAGATTTAAGCTGCAATAAAGGCGGTGCCTCTGGGCATACGCAGAGCGCTTGTCCTCTGGCCGCCGAACTACGGCAGCGAGCGCGTCGCTCTTTTGCGCTCAGGGAGCCGCTCCCTTGCAAATGGAAACTTACATTCCCTCGGCTTTACTCCCATTGGACAAGTTGTGCTTCCACACACCCCAAGCCTTTGCCATATGGGGTTTTTCCACGGCTGCGGGGAGGGAGCGGGTGGGCGTTGCGCTCCCCACCCGAGGAATTTTGCAACCTCTCGAAAACTAGGAGGCGCCCAGAGTCCAAACCGGGACAGTTTGGAGCCTGACGCATGAAGCTGTGCTGCAAGAGCGCAGGAAAAAGGAAGGATGTTTGGGGAGAGGGGGGTGTTGGGTGATGGAAATAGGGAATTGCCCAAGGGTGGGGCACCACACGCACCCACGGCACCCCCCACCCTGCTTGCTTAGCTTGTGCCGCTTGCAAACTTTGCGCAGCAACCCTGCGCCACACGCCCTCCTGGCCTCTGGTGGGGAGGCGTGATAATGCACGCAGAGTCCCGGTAATTTCGTTGCTACTTTATTACTAGAGCGTTTGCATCCTACATTTAAAGCGCTCTCATGCCGCTTTTAACTGCCACGCCCTTTTAACTTCCCTCCAAGCATCCTGTAAACCAGGAGTCGGCAAACTTTTTCAGCAGGGGGCCGGTCCACTGTCCCTCAGACCTTGTGGGGGGCTAATTCCTATGCCCCACAAATAACCCAGAGATGCATTTTAAAGAAAAGCACACATTCTGCTCATGTAAAAACACCAGGCAGGCCCCACAAATAACCCAGAGATGCATTTTAAATAAAAGGACACTTCCTACTCGTGTAAAAACATGCTGATTCCCAGACCATCTGCGGGCCAGATTTAGAAGGCCGGATCCAGCCCCTGGGCCTTAGTTTGCCTACCCATGCTGTAAACTGTAGTTCTTTCAGGGAGCTGAAAGTTCCATGAAAACAGCCCTGTTCAGTCTTTTATTACGAAGGCAATCCTGTATTGGGAAGTGTGTTTTTAATGTTTAATATTTTGTTATGTTTTTATATATGTTGGAAGCTGCCCAGAGTGGCTGGGGCAACCCAGTCAGATGGGCGGGGTACAAATTAATGATGATGATATTAATGATAATAATAAATTACCTGCAGTTCCCAGGGTGCCGGGGGGGGAGCCATGGAATAAGTGGAATAAGAGTGTTTTCGATGGGTGTGATAATGTGCCATCCTCTAGAACAGGGATGGGAGCATCTGTGACCTTCCAGGGATGGGACAACTACAGCTCCCATCAGCCAATGGCCAAAGGTGATGAGAGTTGTAGTCCAACAGCATCCTGAAGGGCCCACAGGTTAGTGGTTGGACCACAACTCCCATCATCCGTGGCCACTTCTTGTGCCAGCCGAGGCTGATGGGAGCTGTAGTTCTGTAGGGCGCCAGGTTGCTCCCCAATGCCCTCATTTCCCCAGGCAACTGGTCCCTATGCAATTTGCTCAATGGTGAGGCAGCACACCTGTAGGGCGTGGCTGGGCCTTGCTCTCTCTCTCTCTCCACAAATCTAGCTGTCGAGCACATGTCATCGGGCCTTGTGTGGCTTTCATTTGCTACTGTGTTGGGGGGACGGGGGCCCTCCCAGGTGATGTTGCTGGGGATGCCCCAAACCGCAGACAAAGGGAGCAAAAATTATTATTATTATTATTATTATTATTATTATTATTATTATTATTAATACCCCGCCCTCCCCAGCCAAGGCCGGGCTTAGGGCAGCTAACAACCAATAATAAAAACAAGTTGAATGAATACAACTTAAAAAACAAGATTAAAATACAACATTAAAATGCAGCCTCATCACAGGAGGAGAAAGGGAAAAAAGAAAGAGGGGGAGGGAATCAAATTGACTCCAAGCCAAAGGCCAGGCAGAACAACTCTGTCTTACAGGCCCTGCGGAAAGAAATCAGATCCTGCAGGGCCCTGGTCTCGTGAGACAGCATTCCACCAGGCCGGAGCCAGTGCTGAAAAGGCCCTGGCTCTGGTTGAGGCCAATCTACCTTCCTTAGGGCCCGGGACCACTAGGGTGTTGCTATTTATGGACCTTAAGGTCCTCCGTGGGGCATACCAGGAGAGGCGGTCCCGTAGGTACAAGGGTCCTAGGCCGTGAAGGACTTTAAAAGTCAAAAGCAGCACCTTAAATCTGAGCCTGTACTCCACCGGGAGCCAGTGCAGCTGGAAAAGCACTGGGTGAATATGCTCCCATGGCAGAGACCCCGTGAAGATTTGATGCGCTGCCTCTGTGCCCCTTCTGTTTGCTATCGCACCTGTAGATAAGGTGATCTTTTTCCGCACACGAAGAACACCCTGTATGCTTTCTCACTCTCTCCAAAGAGGCCAGATAAGATCACCACCACCTTAAAAACCCCCATCTAGAAACCACTGCTGTTCTCATAAACCATGACGGATTCTGGGTGGGTTGTTGATTGTGCAAAAATGAGAACTTGCGGAACTGGATCTTGAAACTGCTGCCGCTGCCGCTGCCGCTGCCTATCGTACTTTTTGCAGCACAGCGTCTTGTAGGTTCAATCCCTGACTTGGAGAGAACCCTGCCTGAAATTCTGACGAGCTGCTGCCGGTCAGTGTAGACAGTAGTGAGTTAGATGGACCACAGCTCTGACTCAATATACGCCAGCTTCCTCTGTTCCCAATTAAGTCAGACCTTAATCTGGAACCATGAGGACTGGAATCTTACTTTATTTTTAGGGGAGAGAGAGTCGCTGCCTTGATGTGGGTTGGGACGAATGTTCTCCTTTCATTTCTCAGCTTGCAGCACATGAGAAGCATTAAGCTTAAAATAATACCTCTTGCTGTGACTTCTAAGACTTCTGGTCCTTACCCCTTCGGGTATGTTCCTTCCCAGGATTAAGAGACCGCACCCTGTGATCAGCTAGGATGACAGAGTGCCACAAGGACACACTGTCTCCTGGCACCAGGCCATGCCAAGAGAGGATATCACAATGGGTGAGTGAGTGGGTGGGCCTAGTTGCAAGACAAGTTATAGCTCAGTCCTAAGCCTGCCTGGCCGCTGCCATAGGAAGCTGTTCTGTTGAGTCAAACCATTGGCAGTGGCTCTCCAGTGTTTCAGAAAAAGGTCTCCCCCAGTCTAGCTGGAATTTGAACCCAGGACCTTGTGCATAAAAAGCAGACACACTTATCACTGAGCTACAAGTCCTTCCTTCACCTCTTCTTTCAGATGGGCTACCCTTTTTAAAAAAAAAAAGTATTATAAAGCGGTGCATTATATTAATACTTTTTTAAGCATCCTAAAAGCATTGGGAAACTCTCCCACAGATTGTGAAGAGAGGCAACCAAGTGACATCACAGGTGCTAGCCAATAGGCACCCTACATGCATACCCTTCCCGGTTTAACCCGAACCACATTGCAAGCTTGTAGAACAAGTCCGCCCCCCCCCAAAAAAAAATTGCCTTGGGGAAAGCAACTGCCTTATTTTTGCAGTGAATGTGGTGCTATCAGACTTACCTCCGCCCCCCCCAATACCTTCATCTCCTTAAGTGGGAATCGGTTGTCTTTAGATATTTTCTTTCTTTGTTGCAGTCAAAACAAAAACTGGAACCAACTTTTAAAAAGAAAAGGAATATGGATAGTGAACCTCAGGCCCAGGAACTAAATGTGGGCCTCGGAGCTTCTCTGTCTGGCTCTTGGGACCCTCTCCATGTTACATTTTTTCTCTTTCTCCAGAGCCATACCCCTTGCCAGACCTTATTTCCACGTTCCTTGTTTCTGCCTGGCTTAGAAGAACAACAGAGGCTTCTTCCTAGCCCGGGCTGAAGAAAAGTTCCCCAGCCCTGTTTTACATTAACAAGTGCAACTCGAACCCGCGTCTGCAGCTCTTTAAACTTGTTCTCTGCTGCTCATGCAGACGCAGTGATGCTTATGGGATTTTTATTAAATAAAATACAGTGGTACCTCGGGTTAAGTACTTAATTCGTTCCAGAGGTCGGTCCTTAACCTGAAGCACTACTTTAGCTAATGGGGCCTCCTACTGCCGCCGCGCCGCTGGAGCCCGATTTCTGTTCTTATCCTGAAGCAAAGTTCTTAACCTGAAGCACTATTTCTGGGTTAGCGGAGTCTGTAACCTGAAGCGTGTGTAACCTGAAGCGTATGTAACCCGAGGTACCACTGTAAAGTACAGTGGTGCCCCGCAAGACGAATGCCTCGCAAGACGGAAAACCCGCTAGACGAAAGGGTTTTCCGTTTGCGATGCGCTTCGCAAGACGAATTTCCCTATGGGCTTGCTTCGCAAGACAAAAATGTCTTGCGAGTCTCGCCATTTCCCCCCCCCCGCTTCCCCCCCTTTTTCTAAGCCGCTAAGCCGCTAATAGCCTTTTAGCAGCTCTGCCGCTAATCCTTTAATAGCCGCTAAACCGCTAATAGCGCTAATCCGCTTAGCCGCTAATGGGGTTGCTTCGCAAGACGAAAAAATCGCTAGACGAAGAGAATCGCGGAACGGATTCTTTTCGTCTTGCGAGGCACCACTGTAAGTGTGTTAGAGAGGTAAAGGTAAAGGAACCCTGACCATTAGGTCCAGTCGTGGCCGACTCTGGGGTTGCGGCGCTCATCTCGCTTCACTGGCCGAGGGAGCCAGCGTACAGCTTCCGGGTCATGTGGCCAGCATGACTAAGACGCTTCTGGCAAACCAGAGCAGTGCACGGAAATGCCATTTACCTTCCCGCCAGAGTGGTACCTATTTATCTACTTGCACCTTGACGTGCTTTCGAACTGCTAGGTTGGCAGGAGCAGGGACTGAGCAACGGGACCCCGTCGCGGGGATTCAAACCGCCGACCTTCTGATCGGCAAGTCCTAGGCTCTGTGGTTTAACCCACAGGGCCACCCGTGTCCCTTTGCGTTAAGAGAGGTAAGCAGCAGGAAAGCTTTGGAAGGCCGGCTTTCCCCTCCCAATCCGTACAGCCTCTTGAACTCTCCCCGTTCTGTCTTTCCTCTTTTTCAGATCTCTTGCCATGGCAGCACCTCTTGACCAAGCTATCGGCCTGCTGGTTGTCACCTTCCACAAATACGCCGGCAAGGATGGCGATAAGAACACCCTGAGCAAGAAGGAATTGAAGGAGCTGATCCAGAAGGAGCTCACCATTGGACCGGTGAGGATGGGGGAAAGGACCAAATATGCTCAGAGTTCCTGTTTGAGGACAAAGGAAGCTGGGGCTACACAGGGACACATCCTGTCTCTCGCTCTCTCTTCCCCCCCGCCAAATAAAAAGCTCTGCAATGTGACCATGGTGGGGTAGATTAAGCCGTATGACCTACCGTATATCCCCACTGACTCAAAACGGCTTGCCCCAGTTGCTTTTCTCCCAGGGGGGAAATGATAATAATAATAATTTATTATTTGTACCCCGCCCATCTGGCTGGGCCTCCCCAGCCACTCTGGGCAGCCTCCACAAAGACCAAAAATACACTAAGATGTCACACATTAAAAACTTCCCTGAACAGGGCTGCCTTAAGATGTCTTCTGAATGTCAGGTAGTTGTTGTTCTCTTTGAAATCTGGTGGGAGGGTGTTCCACAGGGAGGGCGCCACCACCGAGAAGGCCCTCTGGCTGGTTCCCTGTAGCTTCGCTTCTCGCAGTGAGGGAACCGCCAGAAGGCCCTCAGCGCTGGACCTCAGCGTCCGGGCAGAACCATAGGGGTGGAGACGCTCCTTCAGGTATATAGGACCGAGGCCATTTAGGGCTTTAAATGTCAGCACCAACACTTTGAATTGTGCTCTGAAACGTGCTGGGAGCCAGTACATCTTTGTAGGTCTTTCAAGACTGGTGTTATGTGGTCTCAGATACAGAAGGACACGCACCCACCCTCCCACCCTAGACCTTTCCTCACAAGTGGAGAAGCATCTGGGTGGATGGAGAGAGAGAGAGCAGGGGGATATGAATGGGTGGGAAGGGGTGAAGCAGTCCCTTCATGACCCAGGAGTCTTTCGCTTTGGGCTAAAGCCTCCAGAAAGGAGCTTTTCAGTTACAATTCCGTCAAATGATCAGGAAGCCACATAGACGAATCTGTCACGCGATGGCCTCAGGAAATGAGAAAGTGTAGGAGACAGTCAGGTGCCAGGGCAAGGTCTTAATCCCAAAAGGAGGGTATAGAGAACGCCTTCTGTGCATGTGCAGAGTGAGACTCAGACAGCATTAGAGGAGGAGCAAGGTGTCACCAACAGCATCTCCCACCGCTTTCCCCCACCTGCGATAAAAATAATGCTATTATTCATACTAAACCTTGCCTCCCCCCACAACAGTTTCCCAGAAAATCGCCTCAAATGTTGAAACGGAAAGCAAAGGCCTTGTTCCACTGAGCATTCTAAATTCGTGATTTCGTTGTCTATTCCAGAAACTGCAAGACTCAGAGATACAGGCATTAATGAAAGATCTGGACCGCAATGGAGACCAAGTGGTCAACTTCCAGGAATACGTCACTTTCCTGGGTGCCCTGGCAATGATTTACAACGAAGCTTTGAGTTCGTAAATGTAACACCCCGGTGGGTTGAGGTTTTGTGGTTCGGGATTATACCTCTGTAGGCGGTTTCACGTCCAATAAAATTTAAGTTTTGTAAAGTTTGGCTCCGCATCCCGTGACTTTTACCAAAGAGATCCCATGGTGTGTGAACAGGTAACTCGCAAGTTCTACGCATTCAGCTTTACGTGCTTGGCAAAAAAGGAAAGGGGGAAAACGGAAATTAAAAAGGGGACCGGTTTTGGGGTGGGGAGAGACGGGCATTCCCACCCATAATTTCACAGAGTGTTTTGACTATGCTTTGCCCTCACAGAGCTACATTTCCCAGAATTTCATGAGAAAGAGGTATTGATTGCTAAACAACACACACACTCTCTGTAAGGGGAATAACGGGTCTCGGCACCCCTGACTAACAACAGCTCCCAGAATCCTTTTGGGGGAAGCCATGACTGTTGGAAGTTGTGCTTTAAATGTACGGTGCGAATGTGGCCTAAAAGCAGCGTCGCCGATATTTTTAGAACAGCAGGCATATCTGGATTTTTGAGGGAAGTGCTATGGGTATCAGTCACAAAATGGCTGTTGGAGAGAGGAGTGGCATAAGTCAAAATGGCTGCCATTTTTACAAACAATGGATTCTGGGGGGATCCTATATTCACAAGGTGGTCCAAGCTGGCAGAAGCTGTCCAGAGTTTCAGGCCAGCAGCAATTCCCATACCTACCTGAAAATGCGGCTGAGACCTATCGCCAGGCCTCTTCTCATCTTCAGCATTGGCGCTCTAGTGTCACACACACACACACACCAACATTTTTCGGATGAAAATAAGCACCTTCTATTCTATTATCGTCATCGTCATCGTCATCATCATCATCATCATCATCATCTATTTATACCCTGCCCATCTGACTGGGTTGCCCCAGCCACTCTGGGCGGATTCCAACAGACTAGTACCTCGGGTTAAGTACTTAATTCGTTCCAGAGGTCCGTTCTTAACCTGAAACTGTTCTTAACCTGAAGCACCACTTTAGCTAATGGGGCCTCCTGCTGCTGCCGCGCGGCCGGAGCACGATTTCTGTTCTCATCCTGAAGCAAAGTTCTTAACCTGAAGCACTATTTCTGGGTTAGCGGAGTCTGTAACCTGAAGCGTCTGTAACCTGAGGTACCACTGTACACAAAACATTAAAAGAAACATTCTCTATACAGGGCTGCCTTCAGATGGCTATGGGGTTAAGAGAACTCCATACCCTCCAACATTTCTCCGATGAAAATAGGGACGTCCTAAGGGAAAATGGGACATTCCAGGATCGAATCAGAAACCGGGACAGCTTCTGTAAATCCCTGGAAAATAGGGAATCTTGGAAGGTCCATAGTCAACACCATTGCAGCAGCATGTTTTGCAATTTAAAAGATTCACACAATAGCGCTGAACAGAAACCAAGCCGTTGTTCCACAAAAGCAGTGTGCATGTTAAAAAGATGGAAGGGGCTAAAGAAGCAAGCAAAAGGGGGTGGGATTTGGGAGTAGGAAGGGAGGACGAATTATAAAGGGAGAAGGGTTTGGGTCAGGGGTGGGGAATGGGCAAAGGGGAAAGTCTGGGGGGCAGGGGTTTGTACCCCCTAGTCTCACACACACCCCAGCCAACGATCAGAAACAGAAGCCCCTTTAAAGAACACCATCAAGAATAAATTTGCTGGGTGGGATTCTGAAAGCCCTTTTGGGTGTGGGACGACACAGAACATGGAGCCAGCCCAGACTGCTGGGCCGATCTGGTTCAGTCTTGTCCACATTGTCCGGCAACAGCTCTACAGTGTTTCAGACAGGGGCATTCCCATTTCTACCCTGAGACACCAGAGATTTAACCTGTGACCTTCGGTATGGACAGCAGTTGCTCTCTGACACTGACCTGGTTCCCTTCCTGGGTATAGATCCTTTTCAACAGCAGCTTGCGACACACCACCCTGCCTTCTGCAGCTAAGCAGAGCCCCCAGATTCAGTCTCTATCTCTCAACACAGTGGCAACTGCCGGAGGGCGACAGCAGGGAGCGCTGTTGCCTCCCTGCTCTGCTTCTGAGCCAGGAGCGGATCTACTATGAAAGCAATGAGGTTTAAGCTTCAGAGTGCCTCATCCCCGAGAGACCCCAGAAGCAAATTTAGTCCATGTTGCTTAGCGTTTTGCGGTCTAGTAGACACAATTTGAGTCACACGATTTATCTTTTGCTGTATATATTTCAACAATCCCCAAGTTTGAGAGTCGGTAATGCAGATGTGGTAAAGAAGAAAGCAGTGGTTACCCAGACCCCATTGCTGGTTGCAAAGTGGCCCTCATAACAGTTTGACCTTCAGGGACCCAAAAATGTTGGTCTGCCACTGTTCTGAGCTTTCCAGGGGAATCTGGTTGGGCTTTGGCTGCAGGATCTGATTTCTTTCCGCAGGGCCTGTAAGACAGAGTTGTTCTGCCTGGCCTTTGGCTTGGAATCAACTTGATCCCCCTCCCCCTCTTTCCTTTCTCCTTCTGTGATGGAACTCCTATTTGGGGACTTCCCTGGCTTTTTTCTGGCCCAAGTAGGACCAGTCTGGATAGTTGGCCTTGCTGAAGATTTGACATTTTCATCCCAAAAAAGTTTTTGATTTGAGTTTTTGCTGAAATGAGGCTGCATTTTAATGTTGTATTTTAATCTGGTTTTTATGTTGTATTTTAATCAATTGTTTTTATACCAGGTGTTAGCCGCCCTGAGCCCGGTCTTGGCTGGGGTGGGCAGGGTATACATAAAAATTATTATTATTATTATTATTATTATTATTATTATTATTATTATTATTATTATTGAAATGGACAAGTGGACCATCTATGTCAGAGCCCTTCTCCTCAAGGAGTACCACTCATGGGACTGAGCCCTTACTCACCTAGTTAAAAGTGCACTCAGACTCACCTGCCAGGTAAGGTCAACACAATGGGGTGGAGGGAGATTTTGCAGGTGTACTTAATTTTGTGGCACCACCAGGTGGCACTCTGGCTGCATAATTCTCCCGGCAGGTGTCACTCGCAAGTTTTGTAGTCTTACCAAAAAAAATCTGGATCTCAGATGTGGAGCTTTCTGCTATTTATCTATTGAATGGGAAGCTAGACCTTGAGTGCAAAGGCATGGGGGAGCAAGTTAACGTGGTTACAACGCAGGCCACAGCCTGATCAGCTCAGGATTCCTGAGTGCTGGTGCAATCAAGCAGCTCCTCTGACAGTCCTCACGTGATCACAGGGACATTTTCATCCGAGGAATGTTGGAGGGCATGCAAATCTTTTACAAGCCTTTCAGGGAAGACTCCGTATCAAAATTTAAGCCAAGCAATGCTCAGAAACTGGAAGAGGCTGAAAGGATAGCAAGGAGGCCAACCAGTCACACCTTAGCTTAGTCCAAAGTTTGTTACTACCTAGTCTTGCTTCTGGAAAGTTATGGGCACTTTGTTTCCATGCAAACGATCTTGCTTCGTATAGCTAAACCATGGACGAATAAGGCTCTTGGCCAATGCAAAATTCGAGGAGGAATAAGGCAATCGGTGACCACTAGCCAGGATGTTCTGCCTCCATAATCGGCACCAGAGTCGCAGAGTTGCCATTGTGTTTGGGTTCGCATTGGGGTATCTAGTTGGCCAACTGAACAGCTGCACGCTAAAATCAAGGGCAGAGGAGTCGCTGAAAGCTCTGTGCTGCTGTTTTAACTATGGAATTCACTCTGTAAATGCCAGTAACGGGCGTGAACTTAGATGTTTTTAGAAGACTGGGCAAATTCTTGGGGGATATGGCTAGGAATGGCTACTAGCTACCTCCACGGTCAGAGCAGAGCCAGCGCACCCATGAGGCAAGGTGCAGCAGTCGCCCCAGGCAGTAGATCCGGCCTCTGAGGAGACCACTGCTGCCCTCTGGTTAAGAGCGGTAGTCTCATAATCTGGGGAACCGGGTTCGCGGCTCCGCTCCTCCACATGCAGCTGCTGGGTGACCTTGGGCTGCTAGTCACACTTCTCTGAAGTCTCTCAGCCCCACTCACCTCACAGAGTGTTTGTTGTGGGGGAGGAAGGGAAAGGAGAATGTTAGCCCCTTTGAGACTCCTTAAAGGGAGTGAAAGGCGGGATATCAAATCCAAACTCCTCTTCTTCTTCTTCTTCTTCTTCTTCTTCTTCTTCTTCTTCTTCTTCTTCTTCTTCTTCTTCTTCTTCTTCTCTGGCTGCGGAAGATGAGGCGGCCAAGAGCTGCCATATTCTGATTTGCTTCAAGCCACCTCAGCTGCCTCTGGGTCAGAGATGGTATCCTTCTGAATACCGATAGCTGGAAATGGCAGGAGGGGAGGCTGCTCTCGCGCTCGGGTTCGGCTTGTGGGTGCCCCATTGAGGCCCCTGAGAGAACAGGGATGCGGGACTAGATGGGCCACGGGCCTCATCCGGCAGCACTTCCCTTAGTAAATTCGTGTGCCCAGGAATCCCACTCAAGATCACATGAAACCGGTCCGGAGAATTTTGCATCGGTTTTTCCTCTTTTGCCGAGACCACGTGGCAAGCGGCTTCTGAAAACCAGGGGCGGGTGGGCTCCCAAAGTTTTGCGTCAGAAGCAGACCAGACGCCGGGGGCGAAATGTAGCTCAGGCGTCGCCCTGAGCCCCTTCCTTGCTGGCTGTGGGCAGCTGCTTTGGAAAAAAAGAGGACCCGAGGCCGGGACAGTCCCCACCCTGATCTGGCAGGATGAACCGCCGCCCGGAAAACCACACAAAAACCAGTGACGGAATGTTGTTATAATTAACATATATTTTAAAAAATAATAATAAAACCACTCTGGTTTATCTCTTCCACAGTGGGGGCGGAAGGGAAGGAAAGGTGAGGCATGGGCTGAACCCCAACCACAGACCCCCCTACTTTGAGCTCCCCCCCTCCGCCCCGAACTCAAGCACAGAAGCCAGACCTCACGACAGATAAGGATGCAAAGTTACAAGTGCTTTACAAGAGAAATGCCCCCCCTTTTTCCCCCTCTCCCCCACATGTACACGGCAGCTCAGGAGGAGAGGGTGGGGGGCAGGAGAGAAGGGCAGTTATGTACATAATTGCTTTTCTTTAAAATAAA